GTGAAGTCGAATTGGAAAGGGTAAATAAGAGGTTGGCGATTTGGATGATTAGATAAATGGCAAGAAGCTTTAGGAATCTTCGCATTATCACAGAGATATGCATAAGATTCAAAGGATACGAATCGCCTTTTAGCGTTGCCACCCAGAGAATGCTCAAGGGAAGTCGCGACGATGGTACTAGCGCCTTGCAGCATTTATCTTCCCTCTTTTGTTCTCGAGATTTGCTAACGGTCATGCCCATATGTGACTCTGACTGCTCTAACGGTCGAACATGGTCGTCGGCACACCCAACAATGCCAACAAGCTCGAGCCAGGAGAGAAATTGTGTCATATCTGGACGTTTCGAAGGTATTTGGTGCCAAAACCGTTGCAGAATGATAGATAATGACTCGTAATTCGGGTCCATCTCTTCGTGGAATGTTGCAGGAGGATCTCCGTTTAAAATGTCGCGAATGATACGGCCGCGTAGGTTACTTCTCCTATGTTGATATGGGTTTACCAGGAATATGAACTACAGAGCCATGTTAAGTATTCTCTAGGATGGCCGAGTGATCCCTCACCTTCAGGCCCACACAGCCCATAGCATACACATCGGATTCACAAGTTGGCCGACATGTTTCGGAGTCAATGAGCTCCGGTGCAAGATATCGTTCAGTACCCGTATGAGCGGTTGTGGTCGTGAGACCTGTTCCTCCTTCTGATAGAAAGATACTCGCAAGCCCGAAGTCGCTGAGTTTTGGCACCCCATACTGGTCTATGAGTATGTTTGCCTAGTGGACTATCCTAAGCAAAACAGAAGACAACTCGTTCAATGCACACGAACAGGTTTGATATCGCCATGGACGATTGGTGGATCATGCGAATGTAGATAGAGAGCACCTTCTGAAGCGCCGTATAGCTATCTCTCCGTTAGATACATCAGGAAATACATCTAATTAACTCACCAGCCCGAGGCGCTCTCCTAGGTGCATAGATTCACCTCTGCTGGAGAGATAATCTTCCGAGTTTCCATATTGACACCACTTGGAAATGTTAGTAGCGTATTTATTGTATTTATCAATCACTTACAGGGGAAACAAAGGCACCGAATGGTTGAAACCCGACGTCGTCATCTACAAATCCGACCAATGGAAGAATGTTGGGATGGTCCAACTTGGACCAAATGATCCCTTCACGCACAATTTTCTAATTTAGGCGTCAAAGATTTGTTGCAGTAAAGGGCCTCGTTGACATACCCGCCTCATTGACCGTAGACTTCCTACTGGGCAGAGTACCTTGACTGCCACCTATTATACGGATAGAAATGAGCTTATGAGGCTCCTTCAGAGGTTAATGAGCCTACCAGATTTCCTCTCCATGAACTTTGATATACGGTCGAATAACCGCCCCTCAGTCCTCTTCGGAAATCTATAGGCGCCAACTGCCCCGCCAGATTGGGAACCGCCGACTCCCAACCAACTTCGTCCATCGGAAAACTGACTGAAGTGAGGATACTAGAACTGGGTGACTGGTACAGCTAAGTCGGGTTGACCCAGTTCCGCGCAACTGGCGGGGTGGTCGCTATATAAATAGCTGAGGCTGCCCAGCAATAGCAACGGCAAGTGCGGAAAAGAGAGGCTAGAGCTCCTCCAAGTTGAGGACTTGCGCCCTTAGTTATATAAAGTGAAGAGTTTGTTGTGTCTACGATCGTGCTCTGGCCTTGATGAACAAGATACGGTCCAAGTTGTTCTGAATGGTGGACAGCGCCACTTGACGAAGTTTCGCCTTCTGTCGGGGGTCCCGGATACAAGCATTCATCCCTAGCCTTGTACGAATGACATAGTATAATCCTGATTTCTTGGGTTGACGATTCATACAGATTGTAGTACTATGACTATTCGATCCCGGATAAACATCTAAAAATACGGGCCAGGGTTCAACCTGAAGCTATTGAACAACAACGGAATTAAGAAGGAAATAAAATGGTAATACTTATTTGGTTAGGAAACCAGTTCGCTATTGACCACTTTGGGATGTTGATCTAGAGAAGGGGAGGAATGATCCCTAAGTATTCAAAGTCATTGTCGCTATCACCTTCGCTATCACTTGAGGAGACGACGGTTTGACCTCCCTCATCGATGAAGTTGCCTTTACTGTTAGCATATCCTTCTCCAACATCAGGGAACGCTGCAAATTCTGCCGCATATTCGTCCTCCT